GTGGGCATGAAAGTCTTGGCTGCAGGTCTTCGGCAACCCCCTCCCCAAGTGTGGCTTCCTCAGAGCGTGTTCCCTTTGGCAGGTGGAGAGGGACCTGCCAGCTGCTCGTTGTGCCGTGTCCTGCTGGTAGGTCAGCTCTGCCTTCCTTCCACCCCCCATCCCTGCTGATGGTCAGCTGGTGCCACTCCCAGGGCCGGGCACAAAGCCCACGCCAGGTGCTAAACTGGGCCTGAAAGTACCAAGCCTCTTCCATTCTCCCCACCTCATGCCTCAGATCAACCTGGCTGAAACTCCTGCTTCACAGTAGGAGATGCAGCCTAGGGTTCATCCTCTCTGCATGTGTTTCCTCATTCATGGGCCAACCAAGCAAATATCTGTGTTAACCCAAACCCAAGCTTTTAGCCAGTGATTACCTTCCTACAAGAGAAAAAGAAAAGGAAGGGTAATCCCAGGGCCCAGCCAGCCTCCTCTGTTGAAAGTGGTCTGTAAAACAAATTTTCAGTGGATATTGAGTTAAATGTAAAGATTTAAAACTTTTTTTTTTTAAAGATCACTGGTAAGGGGATCTTAACCCTTAACTTGGTGTTGTCAGCACCACGGTCTCCCAAGTGAGCTAACCGGCCATCCCTATATAGGGATCCAAACCCGTGGCCTTGGTATTATCAGCACCACACTCTCCCAAGTGAGCCACAGGCCGGCCCTAAAGATTTAAAACTTTAAATCAATGAAAAATCAAAAAACAAATTTTTTTCTGATATGGATAGGCATAGGCTTTCAATTCTTACAAGCAATGGGAAAAATTGTAACATAAAAGATATAAATTTTACTACATAGAACCATAAACTTATGTATATCAAAAGATCTAAAACAAAAATGTAAGTCTAACTGAAAAATATGTCAGAGAAAGAATTAATATGCTTAAAATAAAAATCTTTAAAACAACAAAGCTTAAAAGGTAACAATAACAATAGCAATATTTATATAATACTATGTGCCAGACACCATTCTAAGTATTTTACACATACTTACTCATTCAATCCTTGTAAACAAGTCTATGAGAAAGGTTCTATTATTATTCCCATTTACCATATGAAGGAACTGAGGTTCAGAGAGGCTGAGTGACTCGTCCAGAATGACATAGCTAATATATCCTGAAGCCGGGATTTAAATCCAGGCCATCTGGCTCTTGGCTCTGAACACTTAAACTCTTCTATACTAACCAGGAAAAAGATATGAAGCAGACAGTACACAAACGAGGGAATACAATTATCTGAGAAACATAAGAATTATTTCTCAAATTCAATGGTAATCAAAAAAGCACAAATTAAAACAATGTGATACCATTTTTTGTCTTCAAATTAGGAAAATGTTTAAACATTATAATATTAGTAAATGCTGACAATGCTGGAGTAAGACAGAGACTCCTACACATTGCTGAAGTTATATTCAAGCGGCCTTTCTGAAAATAATTCTGGCAGTACTCAAAACAGTACTCAGGAGTCCCAAAAATGTCTGTACCCTTTGACCAGGAATTCCCATTCTAAGAATCTTATTTGAGAAAATAATTAGAGACGTAGACAAACACTCGTGTGTAAAAGATGTTTGTAGGAATGCTATATAAAAATGAAAAATTAGAAACAACATATGTATTAATAATAGGATACAAGTTAAGTAAATGGTTTAGTCTCCATAATGGTCAATTAGGCAGTCATTATAAATAAATTTTTATAAAAAAAGACAACATAAACCAAGTGAAGAGACACCACAGACTTCTGAGAGAAGACACTTAAAATGCACATAACAACAAAGAAATATATAAAAAAAAGAATACGCAAAGAAAACTTCCAAATCAGCAAAGAAAAGACAAACAACCAAGGAACAAAATAGGCAAAGGATATAAATTGGCAATTCATAGAAGAAGCAACTAAATGGCTAATAAACGTAAAGCATGCTCCATCTCACTAGTAGTCAAGGAAATGCAAACTAATTAAGTATATTTATCAGAATAGCAAGAGTCTAAAAGGAAAAATATAGGGAAGTAAATCCATATCCATTGCTGATGGGAATATAAATGACTGCAGCCGTTATGGAGAGCTATTTGGCCATACCTAGCAAAATTAAACATGTGATTGATTCCCACATAACTCACATGCACTTCTGTGGATCACCCTGCATAAACACCAGTTTATACAAGGAGACATGTTCAGAGATGTTTATTCCAGTACTGTCTATAGTAGCAAACACATTAGTGCAGACGATCCCCAACTTACAATGGTTTGTCTTAATGATTTTTCAACTTTACTATGGTGTGACAGCAATATGCATTCAGCAGAAACCATACTTCAAGTACCTATACAATTATTCTGTCTCTCATTTTCAGTACAGTATTGAATAAATTACATGAGCTGTTCAACACTGTTATAAAATAAGTTTCGTGTTTGTATTAGTTCATTTTCAGTTGCTTGTAGAAGAATACCTGAAACTGGGTAATTTATAAAGGAATGGAATTTATTTCTTACAGTTTCGGAGGCTAGGAAATTCCAGATTGAGGGGGTACATCTGATGAGGGTCTTCTTCCTGATGGGGACTCTCTGCTGAGTCCTGAGGTGGCATAGGGCATCACATGGCGAGAAGGCAAGAATGTGCTAATGTGCTCTCTTCTCCTTATAAAGCCACCAGTCTGTTCCTATGATAACCCATTGATCCATTAACCCATTAATCCATAAATGGATAGTACATTCATGAAGGCATAACGCTCAAGGTCCAATCACCTCTTAGAGGCCCCATCTTTCAGATACCGTGTTGGGGATTAAGCTTCAACATGAGTTTTGGAAGGGACAAACATTTAAACCGTATCAGTGTTAGGTCATATTGCCCACCCATAAGCTAATGTAAGTATTCTGAGCATGTTTAAGGCAGGCTAGACTAAGCTATGATGTTTGGTATGTTAGGTGTATTAAATGCATTTTCCACTTAAAATATTTTCAACTTTTGATGGGTTTTTGGGGACATAACCCCATTGTAAGTCAAGGAGTATCTATATTATTGTTGCATAATATTATTATATATTATATATTAAGTTGTTATAAAATAAAGCAGCACAGTGATTATTATTAAAGAACCATCCATCAGAAGGGACATGCGTAAGTGAAATGTGATTAAATATAATGGGATACTATGCACAATTGAAATTAAAATAATTGAACTAGATCTATAGCTATCAGCTCAGACAAATTTCAAAAAACAATGCTGAGTATGAAGAGCAAGTAAACGAAAAAAATACGTATTTGAATGATACTATTTATGTAAATCTTTAAAACAAACTAAAAATATTACATAGTATTTAAGGACACATATGTATAGGAAAATATACAACAAACATGGAAATAACATACACCAACTTGAAAATAGTGATTACTTTTGAGAGGAGGGATGTCTGGACCCCGAAGCCCGTGCAGGTTCTGCAGTTGTCATCAGGGCTCCTCGTGGGCTGTGGATCTGGCCACTCCCTGGCGCTCTGCCAGCTGCCAGCACATCCTGCCCTGGAGATCCAGGACCCCAAGGCTACCTACCCTTCCCCACATGCTGCCGAGGACCCCGAATCTCAGGAAGCCATGGACAAAGAGAGAAACTGAAAGAAAAGACAATCAGAAACTTCATCCCAAAGCCAATCTGACAGGTCCAGAAATGAGGAACTGTGATAGAGAACTTTTAATAAAGTGGTTTTTCTCACCAAAAGTTTTCCCAGAGGATCACTTTGTTGGGTTGTAGGGTTGGCTTGAGAAGGACTCAAGAGGTGCCGATGGTTGCGCTGACCACAAAGCAGAATGATGGGTAAAAATGTGAGTTGAGGCCCTAGGAGAAGGTCTGACACCTAGGAAGAGGTGACGTGATGGATGGAAACACCACGGATTGTCAGAGTGACCTGGGCCTGAATGCTGGCATGGCCACTTTCTGGCTGTATAACTCTGAGTTTGTCCATTCTTTTATCTATTTATTCAACAAACACGTATTGAGCACCAACTGTGTGCCAGGCACTGTGCAAGAGATAAAGCAGTGAACAAAACATACACACTCTTCCCCTCACCATAGTGTACAGTCTAGTGAGGGGGGTGACCGTAAACACATCACTACACAAATTACACATCACTACAAAGTGCAAGGTCCTCATGAGGGAAAAGTACAAGGGCAACAGCAAGAAGCTGATTTGGATTGAGTAGCCAGTGAATCTTGCCTCTGAGGAACATTTCAACTGGAATTAAAAGGATGACAAGGTCTGGAACCCCAGAAAAGTGAGGACTTTGAGAGAAAGGAAGGCCCTACATGGCATATTTAAGGAACTGAAAGAAAGCCAGAGTTCTGGATGGAATGAGGGAGGGGGAGAGTTGTGTACGGTGAGATCAACCAGATAGTGAGGAGCCAGATCACTCAGGGCCTCATAGGCCAAGGGAATGCCTCCTTAAGGACAGTGGGAAGTCATTAAGGGCTTTTAAGCAGTGGAGGAACACATGGATGGATTTGTAATTGTCAAATTGATGCTCTCTGAAGATCAGAGTGGACGGTGAGCAGCCCAGTTAGTTGGCTATTGGCATGGCCCAGATAAGAGAACATGGCAGTCTAGATCAGGGTGGTGGCAGCGGAGTTAGAGAGATGTGGAGAAAGATTGGAGATACATTTGGAGGCAGAGTCAGCAGGTGTTGATGATGAATTGCCTGTGGGGGCGCGGTGAGAGTAGGGAAGGGCCGAGAAGGAAGGCTGAGGGTGGGACAGGAACAGTTGTGGGTTGGTGGGAATGGGAAACACTGGACCAAGAGCAGACTTGGGTGGGGGAGGAAAGCAGGGGAGTGGGCAGGGACAGTGAGCATACCACCAAGTGTCATTGAGCTTTGATTTCTTCATTTGTGAACTGAGGTATACGGTGGTACCTTCAGCCTCAGGGTGAGCATTTCAGCCCTGTTGTCCAAGACCATTTCTACAGCAGTCTTCCCTGTCCTCCACAGGTGGGGCATGTTACTCTTGGGGCTGGAACGAGCATGGCATGTGCGGAGATGGCACCGAAGCCAATGTCTGGACCCCGAAGCCCGTGCAGGTTCTGCAGTTGTCATCAGGGCTCCTCGTGGGCTGTGGATCTGGCCACTCCCTGGCGCTCTGCCAGCTGCCAGCACATCCTGCCCTGGAGATCCAGGACCCCAAGGCTACCTACCCTTCCCCACATGCTGCCGAGGACCCCGAATCTCAGGAAGCCATGGACAAAGAGAGAAACTGAAAGAAAAGACAATCAGAAACTTCATCCCAAAGCCAATCTGACAGGTCCAGAAATGAGGAACTGTGATAGAGAACTTTTAATAAAGTGGTTTTTCTCACCAAAAGTTTTCCCAGAGAATCACTTTGTTGGGTTGTAGGGTTGGCTTGAGAAGGACTCAGGAGGTGCCGATGGTTGCGCTGACCACAAAGCAGAACGATGGGAGGCTGTTTGCCCAGTGTCTGGGGTTCAAGGAGACAGACATCCTTTCTACTCAGCAGATGAGAATGAGGGGTTAGGCCCTCACCAATAGACGTGGGAAGCTAAAACACCAGCAGGAAGGTCAATTCTAGAACACCTTCACCAAGGATGGGTCCTGGTAGCAGAGGAAGTGCCCAGTGAATGTAAATGAATGAACTCATCAGTATACCCTTGGGGTCGCCATGGGTGGGGAGATTCAATGAGTGGACTCTATGATCCCCTCATCCCTACCCATCCTCTGCTTTTATCCCTTTCACAAATGTTTGAGAACTACGCTGTAGATATCATAACCATTCTACAGTCAGTTAATGTCAATGTCATCCGCCTGGTTAGCTAATGAGCTGTAGGAGCTAACTTGAGAAAATAGCCACTCATTTTTAAAAGTTATTTTTTTCTCTGATCAGAAAAAAAAGCAAGTCAGCCTTCTTATTCCTCCTGTGGGAGGAGGAAAGGAAAGAGAAGAGGTGAGTGGGCCCCTGTTGTGTGCTCACAGGTCTTCAGCCTGGCCCCTGGAGTGATTGTTGAAGGTCGAGTACGTACCGGATGTTGGTGGGATGCTTCCATCCCTACCTACCAGATTCACTCTCCCCTGCTGATCACAAGCACCCCATCTTCCCTTGACATCCCCACCACCCCACCTGGGGGTTGTGAGGGCCATCAGAGCAACCTCAGATGAGATTGTGCTTAGGGATGGTGAATCTAGGCCTAGGGCTCAGAATAAAGCCCTCCCACCTTGCCCCAGGTATCCACCACTTCAGGGGTGAAGAGTCTTAGTAATGAATGGCAGTTGGGAGTTAGCAAGTTAGTCTGGAAATGGTGGGGTGTTAGAGGAAAGGCATTCCAGGTCCTCAGTCGCATATGTGTTAACTGCTACAAGTTCAGAATTTCAGAGTGAATGGAGCACAGAGGGAAGTGGGTGCAGGGAGAGGAGAGGCTAGAGAGGCTGGTGGGCCTTGTAAGTCAACTTAAAGAGCTTCCGCTTCATTTTAGGGTAACGGGGTGTTTGAATGGGGGATTGAGGTTGACCAGCTGTGTGTGTGGGAGGCTTGGAGCAGGATGTGAAGTAGCCCCTTCCGTCATATTCATGTGCTTCATGACCGTGCAGGAGGCCAGGTCCTGAGGGCCTCATTTCCTTATCTGTAAAATGCCATGACCTTTAGGGACTCTTCCCAATGAACATTCCTGGAGTCTCTAATTGATAAAAAGAGAATTGGAACCCTGATCCTCCATGCCTCCCCTGCACCAAAATCAAGTGAACAACCAAAGCAATTCAAGCTCCCTAAGGAGAGTGCTCTACCCCTTCCAAGATGCCTCCAGGCTGAGAGAAGGGTATTCAATGAGGAGGTCCTCCAGACTGAGCCCAGCAAGAGGACAGCTAGGCAGGGCATCCAGACCTTATAGTCAGACCCCTGCCTCTGGCTCCATCAGATTAAGGAACAGCTCTAAGAGGGAGGTGGCCATGTTCTGAATAGGGGGCTGGGAGCTCCAACATGGCCAGATTCAACTGTTCATCAACATGGCATGATACACAGGGAATATCAGGTGAACCCTTTAGAGGATGTGCTGGTCTTAGGTCAAGTCCTTGAATGCCCTGTGCCTTCTGAGAGATGCCTCCCTCCCCCAACCCAACAGTATGTGCAGCCCATAGGGCCACCCGACCCACCCAACCTGCAGAGACCAACTTCTTCCTTAGAGCCTGGCTTTCCTCCTGAGAGAAAACAGCAAGTGCCTTAAGGTGGACCCTTGAGACCAGAGTAGCCAGGGCCCAGGTTTACCTACCCAGCCACAGCAGACCAGAGGCCCAGAGCAGAATCGCGACACTGCCTGAAGGCAATAAAAACCCAAATCCATGCTTCATCTCAAAAGTCAGCTTTTTATTATTGGGGCCAGGGCCCAGGGAGGGGGAGGGTGTTGAGCTATCATTGCTCTTTCCAGGAAATGTTGTGAGCTGCAGTGAAAGCTCGAGATGTTGCATTTTTTTTTTTCAACTCAAGCATGTGTTTTTCAAAAATATCATCCTTTTCTCCCCCCCACCCAACCCCCCCACTAATTTTAGAATCAGACCAAAGCCAAGCTACTGTCCTCTGTTTCTGTTGGGAAAATACTATATTTATTCGAGATGCAATTTTTTTTTTTCAACTCAAGCATGTGTTTTTCAAAAATATCATCCTTTTCTCCCCCCCACCCCACCCCCCCACTAATTTTAGAATCAGACCAAAGCCAAGCTACTGTCCTCTGTTTCTGTTGGGAAAATACTATATTTATTCGAGATGCAGAAGTGTGTCTCTGCAAACCTCCGATTGCTTCAGGAAAACAAATCTGCTTTAGACTATACAGAAACCATGATACAAAATTTATTTCATGCTAGAGTCGCTTTGCATAACATTGGGCATGCAGTTTTTTACTCTGAAGTACTAAATTGCATACAATGCCAGGTTGTGTCTTAATAAAAGTGGAGGAGTTGCTCCTCCCATGGTCCTGATCTTTTGGTGCTCTACATCCTGGTTTTAAAGTAACACTTGGAAAATCCGTATGGTGTTGATTATTTATTATGAACAATTTGTTATGAAAGTTGGTCACACTGGATCTACGCACTGATAAGATGAGAGAATCGACCTAGACTGGCCGCTGTCAGGGGTCTTGGGGAGACGTCCGGTGGGTCACAAGCATGCCAAACAGAGAGGGAAGAAGGCGGCAGTGCGAGTTTCCACGATTCTATTTGGAGCAAAGTTCTCAGTTTCTGCATGAGAGATGAGCTACGAAGGTGAGGTCAATATGACCGATGACTGACCGACTGCCCTTTTTGGAACCTTTACTCTCGATCTTGTGTACAAAAAGGGAGACAACCCATTCTCCATCCCCGTTCTTCCTCCCCTTGCCCCCCACCCCCAGAAATGTACAGGTTTCTACCGAATGTCGTTACAGTTTGGCTCCAACAATGTGTGTAAAAGTAAAGAGTTTTGAAAGAAAATAAAGACTTTTGCTTTTTCTTTTCATTATTGTTGTTTAGGGTAATCATACAGTTGCAGGGGTTTGATGGGTTTGGCTTGCTGGGTTTTCTGTTGAACTTCATGCAAGTCATGCTAAGGAACCCCTCCACCCCCCCTCCCCAAATAAAATAAAATTTTAAAAAATGAAAAGAAGGAAAAGAAATCCTCTACGGTCAGTTACCATTTGGCCGTAGGAAAAGCTACGTCCGTCCTAGTACAATGCCTGGGCCACTCGGACTCGTCCGGCAAACCTGCATGGCGTGAATTTACTCTGTCCGAGGGTGAGGAGGGGCTGCAGGTCCACCCAGATGCTTAATAGCCACCAGTGTCCTCGGCCAAGCCGCCTGGTCAAGTCACTCTCACAGCCTCTGTCGGCATATACTTAGCAATGACAGGGCTTTCTTTGCAAAGATCTGTATGTAAAGAATACAATTAACACTTGAGCTTCTCTTCTTGGCTTTCCCATCCCGCTTGGTACTTAGTTCTTAAGGAAGGAGGAGGAAAGACAGTACAGCCACATGCAGAGGCAGGCAGATTCTTCTCCAGCTGGCTTGGATTTCCCATGCAGTGAGCCAGCCTAGCACGCCTCTTTCCCTCCTGGGGGAACGGGTTAAGTCCCTAATTCTTCTCCTACTCTGAACATGGATTCAAACACCTGCAGGGCTTATGGCTCAGAATTAGCCTGAGAAAAGCAAGTCCTTGGCGGTTGCCATGACTCCATGACTCCATGACAATGGGGGCCAGGTGGATGTGGGTGGGGAAACTTAACCCTTGGCACCTCTCAAACACTCCCGCACCTAAGCCCCTGTGGAACTGGGGAGTGGGTATCACCTCTAGACAGTGGTTGCTGCTGGGTTCCCTAGCCACTGCAGGGAGATGGGGCTGCTTCTGTCCCACACTCCCTGGGCTTCTGGAAGCACAGTAAAGAGACTCTCCTGTCTCTTCTTTTAGGCCACGCTGATAAATCCAACAATCAAGGAGACAGGCAGCCCATGAGACCTTACTAGGCAGGACACAGCCACTGGGAACGGTCTACCTGCTCTCCTTCTCACTCCCCAGGGCTGCCCCTGCTCCTGTGCATTCTAGAGCCTCCACCTGGGAAAAAAGCCAGTTGCAAAGGGGAGCATCAGGCCCATCCATGGAGGGTGCGAAGGATGGGGCCCTCCCCAAGGCCTCTGCCATGCAGAACCATGCAGGGTGCTACACCATGCTGGGGTCCGAGGGACCTCCAGGCAGGCCACAGAAGCAGGGCCCAGCCTAGACCAGGTGGGCACAATTAAGCACTAGTGACCAGAAGGACTTGCCCTCATCTCAGTGTAGGCTGCCTCTCCTGGGTTTACTTTTGATTTTGAATTCTGTTTTCTCCTTGTGTATGGTTTAACCACTTCAAATATTGGAGCAGTTGCGAATGGCCACAGGCTACCCTAACTGCTGCTCTCCAAAACCCAACTACTTGTCTGACCCAGATTGCTCACCCCAGTCAGCATGCATCTGTGTGAGAGCGTATGGTGCTCCAAGACATGCACGAGCTGCCCAGCCAGTCTGCTGCACCAAGAAGGGCTTTCTCCGCCTTCCAGGCCAGACCAATGCGTGGAGTCTTGAGTTAGGGTGCTCTGGGCCCCCACCCCAAGCCTCTCCCCAGCCCGTGCTCAAGCTCTAGTAGAAGCCTTCCTCTCCAGCAGGGTCACCTACAGTTCTGTGTGAAAGGAGACCTTGAGCAGACAGGCCACCACTGGTCTCAGCCTTCACCAACCACAAGTGGTGCTGACCAAACCCACGGTAGTGGTCAGTGGGCACTGGGGATGGAAGGAACTCACAGAGTCTTGCTAAACCACCTTCTCTTGGCAAGTTCTCTATCTGCCACTAGCAATATTTTGACTGGAGCACACTTTACCTGTGTAGGGACAATGGCCTTACACCCAAGCTCTGAAGCCACCTCTCTCTTCATCCCTCCCTGCCCACTGGCCCGTGGATTCTCTTTAAAGAATGCTGCTTCCAGAATATACATTTTGGGTAGCTAAGCCCACAGGGTCCTGGTCAGGCCAGGCCACCCCACCGCCCTCCTCAACCAAAGGAGAGGAGAGGTCTCTTGGCCTTCTGGACCTGACCTGTCATCTGCCAGAGCTGTCTGGGGGAGTCAAGGCTCCTCCTCATCCCTGGGACCCCCTGCCTTGGGATCATGGCTGTCATCAACCAGCCTGTCCCAAGCCCCTTAGCTCAATATCAACCCCCAGCTTCCTGGGCCTCAGGTTCTCTCTGCCAGCCTGACATCTGCTTAGGGGACAGGGACTCAGACCTCCAGGGGCTGACCCTGGGGGACTCCCTTCATCCCTGCCCCCTTGGTGTGCCTGCCTGCCCCTCAGCACCCCTCACCCGCCACCCTGCCCACCCATCTGCAGGAGCGCGAGGTGGGCCCAGCCGATGAACAGTGCTCCAGCTTCCTCTACATACCCTTTCTCATTCCTCCACCAGGTGGGCACGCGTACTCCCCAGTTGATAAGAGGAAGCAGGGTCCGTATCTCTCGCGGGTGCCCGAACGCGTAAAGGGCAGGCCCTCATCGGGAGTGAGGGCCTGGTCTATGTGGGGGCAGTCTTCGTTCGCCAGCGCGGCCTTCGCCACCTCCCCATTCAGTTTGGAATCTTCAAACATATAAGCAGAAGCTATTGAGACACTGAAAACTGTTTAGTTGGTGTGGGGGATAGGCCAGAGGTGGGGCATTGGCAGAGGGCAGCCCATCCCTGAGGATGGAGAAGCAGGCATTGAGCAGGGCACGAGGCTGGGGATCTCAGCTCATTCAGGCAGCCTGGGGGCTGCCATGATGCTGGGAGGGAGGGACTTCTGGGTTTGCTCAAAGTTTGCAAAAAGATGAGTTGGTGATGGGCCCAGCAGGTGCAGTGCTGGGGGCTGGGCCCAGGGCCCAAAGGGGTCGATGACACAGGATGGTGTGGATGCAGTCATGGGGAGAGGGCCAGACACAGAGCTCAGGGGAAGACAGACAGACAAGCAGAAACACTCCAGTCCAGAGAGGCAGCCTTTTTGGACCTCTCTGCTGCTGACCAGAGCCTGTCACCCATCCACATCTGGCCAGTTGCTTAGGCTGCCCTAGCTCCATCCAGACTCATCCAATCAGCTGTTGATAAGAGGAAGCAGGGTCCGTATCTCTCGCGGGTGCCCGAACGCGTAAAGGGCAGGCCCTCATCGGGAGTGAGGGCCTGGTCTATGTGGGGGCAGTCTTCGTTCGCCAGCGCGGCCTTCGCCACCTCCCCATTCAGTTTGGAATCTTCAAACATATAAGCAGAAGCTATTGAGACACTGAAAACTGTTTAGTTGGTGGGGGATAGGCCAGAGGTGGGGCATTGGCAGAGGGCAGCCCATCCCTGAGGATGGAGAAGCAGGCATTGAGCAGGGCACGAGGCTGGGGATCTCAGCTCATTCAGGCAGCCTGGGGGCTGCCATGATGCTGGGAGGGAGGGACTTCTGGGTTTGCTCAAAGTTTGCAAAAAGATGAGTTGGTGATGGGCCCAGCAGGTGCAGTGCTGGGGGCTGGGCCCAGGGCCCAAAGGGGTCGATGACACAGGATGGTGTGGATGCAGTCATGGGGAGAGGGCCAGACACAGAGCTCAGGGGAAGACAGACAGACAAGCAGAAACACTCCAGTCCAGAGAGGCAGCCTTTTTGGACCTCTCTGCTGCTGACCAGAGCCTGTCACCCATCCACATCTGGCCAGTTGCTTAGGCTGCCCTAGCTCCATCCAGACTCATCCAATCAGCTCTGCTTCATTCCCTACTGGGATCCCATCTGATCACTTGATTCCTGCTGTCCCCCCCAATATCCTACCTGATCACTCAACCTGCTCCCCACCCATGCATACCCAAACTGGTCAGTCTGTGTGCCCCATCCCCCATGCAGACTAGACCTGGCCACCTAGTCTCCTCTGTCCCCATTTAGACCCAATCTGGTCACTCTGTATGCCCCATCCCCTATACAGATTAGGCCTGGCCATGCCGTCTCCTCTGTTTTCCACGCAGACCCAATCTGGTCACTCTGCATGCCCTGTACCCCTTACAGATTAGGCCTGGCCACACAGTCTCCTCTGTCCCCATGCAGACCCAGCTCGACCACTCCATCTGCTCCATCCCCACACAGATCTATGCCCAACACTCAGTCTGCCTGGATCCCCATGCATATCAAGCCAGTGTCTTCCACCTGTGCTGCCCAGCGGGTCTGGTCAGCTTGCACAGGCACAACAGGGATGTACGCATGAGGCCGTGACAGCGGGACATGGATGTGGGGGAGCTCCCATTCCTGTGTCTCCTCTTGTCAGTGTCCCCGGCAAAGCAGAGCAAATGATGTGTAGAAGACAACAGCAGCTGATGGACTTGGGTGGGGAAAATTCAAGTCTTGGCCTCTGTGGTAGCCTGGGAAGGAACCTGAGAGGAGTTCTGGGGCACATTTGGTAGGGGGCAAAGTGTAGCCAGAGCAAGGAGCTCTGTCTCTCCAGTTCCAGGAGCAGAGCCCTGGAAGCCTGTGGAGCTAGCAGAGGTAGCTCTGACTGGCCCTTGCCTCTGCCCTGTTACTCTTGGGGACTGAGCCTGCCCCACACTCTCTGCCCCCAAAGCAGACTCTTTCTGGCCACGGTGGAGCCTACTCAAACACTTCATCTGGGGCAAGAGCCTCAAGGGCAAGCCCTTTTGTGGAAGAAGGAAACCAACATGGGTGTGGCCACATTAAGGGAGGCTGTCTGAAAGACTCAGAGGGAAAATGCTGGAGACAGTTCCCACCCGATTTGACACTCTCTTGTGATCCTGTTCACATCATGTAACTACACGCAGAAGTGATCCTTCTCCACGTGCACATACTCAGCGTGCGCGTGGGTGGGACCACCCCCCCGTGTACACATCATGTCACTACAAAGAGGCAGTCAGTCGAAAGAGAAATGGACCAATCAGGTTTATTCATAAAGCAAATCCAAAAAAAAATCCCATCATAATTTTGGAACTTAAAAAAAAATCTCTCGTACAAGATGGCAAAGCATTTCACGTACAGTGTGTTTCTTGACAAATCCCAGGGGCTTCACTCCTCCACTTACTCTGAACCAGAAAGGCCAGTTACCAAGGTAACTCTGACACCACGTGACTGGGGCTGGGGGCTCCCTGGGAGCTGGGGGCTGTCTAGCATGCGGGGGCGTGTCTGCAGGCACACACGTGTGTGCACACACACGCCCGGTCCTGCCTCCCAATCTGGTTGGCCCCTGTCTTCCTTCCCAAGGGTCTCTGGGCTGAGGGAGGAAAGCATCGGGAGAGCGGAGAGGAGCGGTCTGGAGGGGGAAGTGGATGAGGGTGTGCAGGTGGGGCCCATAGTACCCTGCTTGAATTTCCTTGAGGGGAAAATGCTGGGTCCTCCCAGGCAGCGTTTCCATCTAGGGGCAGTGAGGACCTGCTGTCTCTTTGTAGGCCATCATCTGTCAGTTCTTGGCCAGGGGATGGGTCAGAGCTGGGTGCCCCTCTCTGCCTCCACCTCCGTGGAGATGGTGCAGCCTGAGACCCCTCCTCTGGCTCTGTCCACCAGTCCCCCACTCCCCTGGGGCTCCCAGCTCCTACCACCTTTAAGAAGCCCAAAGTTGGGGCTGGTTTTCACTGCAGGGGTGGGGGCAAGGAACAGCCATCAGAGAGCCCGGGGAGGTGAGGGGGTGAGAGCTAGGTACCTTTCCCTCCGTGGGGGATTCACAGGACACCCCAGACCCTGCTTTTTCGCTCTACTTTGACCTTTGACGAGGGGACTGTGATTGGGTGGGGTGTTTAAGTCTTGCTCTGTGGATGAGCCCAGCCTCCCTGGGCTGTTGATTTGTCTGCAGTTTGGGATGCTCCCAGAAACTGGGAGTCTTCGCCCTCCCTAACTTCAGAGGGGTGGGCGGAAGAGAGAGACAAAGGAGGGGCCAACTGTCTAAATCTTGGGAACCCATGAAAAGGGCCACAGCTGCGAGCTCACCTAAGGCCCCCCATCCTCCTGCCCCTGCTCCACCCTTTGGATGAGATGGCAGCTTGGAGCCTTGGTTCCCGCCTGCTTTCCAGAAGCCTGGGGCCCCACCTCCCTTGGTCCAGGGCCCCCAGGCCCCCACTAGACCCACAGGCCTGCAATGATGAAATGGCAGCATGGGCAGCGTCTCAGAGATGGTTTCCAGGCTTTGAAATGGGCTGAGATGAGCATCCGTGAGGGGGTCATTTTTTTTTAAACTTTGGAGCAAGGAGAACCAGCGTCGCTGGGCCCTCAGCCAGCAAGACTGGCCTGTGTGCCCCGGTCTCCAGGTGCCACTGACGTACTTACTGTTCACACCAGCAGTGGGTACCGGGGGCACACGCAGGGCTGGGGTGGGGTGGGGGGTGGCCGGGCATTTCCTTGGGGTTAGCCCCGAAGGATCTGCCCAGCTGGGACTCAGGGGAAAACGTCCCGGGCTAAATGGGGACAGTCTGTGAGAGACACGAGCAGAGTACAATCACGAGAACCGGCACAAGTCATGCAACAAAGGAGGAAAGAGAGAGAGAGAGAGAAACATGATTAGTGGAGAGAGAGAAAAAGAATGTGAACAACATGGAAAAGAACACCCATGCCTGGCCCTCAGAGTCAGCTCACTTCTCTGCTACTTCCCCTGAGCTGTCCAGGGGCCACGAGGACCCCACGCAGGGCTCCAGCTGCCAACCCTGCCGCTGGACTGTGCGGAAACTCTTTCAGCCCCACCCCCGCCTGGCCAGCTCCGACCACAAGCCCGTCACCCTCCCTGCCCCGTGGGCTAGCACCACACCCTGGGCAGCCACTGCAGCCCAGCAGGGGAAGGGTAGAGGAGCCAGGGACAGGGCATTTGGGGCTCTGCTGCTTAGGGGAGAACTCCCCACCAAAGATGACCCAGAGTCTGCCATGGTAGCTCCCAGGGGATCCAGGCAGGAGCTTCTCTGCGACCTCACTGCTGCCGTACATGCCCATGGGCAGGAAGGGAGCCTGGCCACCACCCCTCCCCCCTTGCTCGCCTACTCACTCAGGACCCTGCAGCCCTGGGCAAGGCACCACAAAGGACCAACCCACATCACAGGAGCAGAGATGGACAAGACACACGTGAACGGACACAGCAGGACAGAGGAAGCACTCCGAGCTGTCCAGAGCAGCTGGTCTGGGCCCCAGCTGCAGACGGGGCAGGGAGGCCCTTTCTGGGAGAGGGGCAGCTTCTTGTGGGCCATCAGCCCTGACAGTCCCTGGCTGTGCAGGGCACCCTCCTGGCAGCCCCCTAAGAGGCCCTACAACCAGGTGAGAATTGGACTCTTGACAACCCCCCAGGATGAGACCCTAAACACGGAGGCCATGCCAGCCATGGCACAGAGGAGCAGACTAGATCACCCCTGGGACAGACACACAGACTGAGTTTTCAGGAGGGATCAAGACGTGGAAGTGAGGGAAGGGGCTGCCGTGCAACCGGGAGGCCTTGCTTCATTCCCAGGGCTCCAGCCTGGGGGTGTGATGCCCTCAGAGCCCAGCAGGCTGCACCTGGCCCTTCATCCAGGTGTGAAAAGTTGAATTGGAGAAGCCCAGGTTCTGGTCACCCTCAGGGGTGGAGTGAGGCTAGAAAGGCCTCGGGGGCCTGCATCTCACCCCCCACAATTCCTTAGGGCCTGCTTTCCACCCACCACATTGCCTCCCTTGCCTCAGGCCTCCCCCTCACTCTCTCACAAACTCACCCCCATCCCCGTGCCCATCTGGGTGCAAAGCCACAAGCAGGAAAGAAGGCGAGTGGGAAGGGACTCGGGTGCAGAGATGGGGGAGGACTCGCCTTGAGCCTCACACACCCCCTTGGTGGCAGATAATCCAGGTCTCACACACGGGTCTGGACGTCAGGACAGCACCAACACCACCAGGGGAAGCGAGTGCTTGCGGCAGGGAGTGGGGACACAGCATGGGGGGAGAAAGCAGGAGGATCCAGGAGGCATGCAGCCTTCAGAGGGCAAGTGTGGGCGGGCCCAAATACATCCTCAGCCATACAGACTGTCCAAGCCAGAGCCCTCTGCATCCCCAAAACCTGGAGCCAGGGCAAGGTGGCTCCCAAGAGCAGGGCTGCCAAGGCTAGGGAGGGGCGATGAAACAAGGGGAATCCCACAGGAGTGCATGGGTTTTACAGGGCTGCTGGAGCATGGGAAGAGGGCTTGTGTGTCTGGGACTAGCTGGTGTGCATGTCACACACACATCTGCACTCCTGCATGTGTGTGTGTGTGTGTGTGCGTGCATGTCCTCAGCACATGGATAACACTGGCATGGTCTAGGAATACAGAGGAATCTATGCCTGCCTGGAGTGAACTGGGGATCCTTTACGGCCTGGCCTGGGGCACCCAGGCTTGGGGCACCCATCCTGAAAGGTCAGTGTGGAGGAGGACACAATGGAAGGGCCAAGCAGTGCCATGGCAATGCCACTCAGGCTGAGCTCCTGCTGCTGGGGCCCAAGGTGGAACCCTCCCCCAGAGCCCCAGGAACTGTCCTTGCCCTGGTGGTGGCTCCAGACGTCCCTGGCTAACTAATCCAAAGCACAGAGGTGGGGTGGAGGCTTTCCAAGGAGCAGGAGCCATGTCTTGGCCGGGCCCCCTAATTCAGCCTCTGAGACCCCTGTCCACCCTTGGCACAGCCCAGGACACTAGCCACATTCTTCTCAGGTGCCTCCAGGAATCCCAGGAAGGGAAGGGTATGGGACAGGGACAAGGGTCTGGATAGCCCCTATGGGCAGAGACGTGGGCCTTGGGGTTACTGCTGTGGCTGGCATGGCTGTGGAATGAAGCCAGACAGGATCAGGATGGGGTGGTGGGTCAGAGCGCATCAGTGGGGAAGGAAAGCAGTCATCCACTGGGAGAGGCCACCCAAACCAGGGGGAAACATCCTCACCTGGGGCTGAGCCAGCCTGCAGTCCCCCCTGCCAGACCTGGGCACGGGATGTCTTTCATAGAATAAATGCTACCTAATCTCTCCCATCAACCTCCTGCTCACCCTGGTACTCCTTCTGAGCTCAGTATTGTCTTTCTTCTCTGGGTCATCTGTTCCTTTGAAATCCCTGTGTCCACAGAATAAGTCGATGGTATTCCATGGGTAGAGGTAGACTATGGGCTTTATATCTTCAGACCAGAGCCCCATGATCAACTTTATGTGCTATGTGCAGTTCTCATAAAACTGAGATAGTCCCACAATGAACCACTAGCCATGGAATATTAGAATATATCCCACAGTGACTAGTATTGTTTCATAACCCCCCTCCCCCCGCCCCGACCCCAGTGAATTCAGGGGAAAGTGGTCATACACTGGTTGGGATGTCTTGTATTGCTGCTGCAGTCCCTACCGCCGGAAACGGGGAGAACCCTCGGTGGGAGGTTGTTGCTGGTCTGTAGTGCTTTCATCTAAGCTGCCCGGGGTGGTGGCCCCCTCTAGTCCTTTGCTCACCAGCAGCCACTTCCATCAGGAGGTCACTGGAAACTCCCACTCAACCATCAACCCAAACAGACAACATGAAAGCTAGAGTCACTCCAACAGGTTCCTAAAGATAAACGCTAAACTCTAGAGTGGTGGTAGAAGATGAGTTGGTTCGGCATGCTATGGGATAAGTAAGCTTGTCACGGAGGGCTAGAGGCGTCTCCCAAGCAGGACCTGGAGCTGGGCAGCCGGAATCAAAGCAGGAATTCTACTCAGCTATGGAGACAGGCTCTGTGGGGGGTGAGGATCCTTGCTACTGCCTTTGCAGGGACCCTCCTGCCAGATCCCATGCACCATTTCTGCCGTCTGCACAGCCTGAAGGGAGCTGTGTTAAGGACCAAATCAAAAACTGTCTGGCACTTCCGAGTCACACCCGCCCCCACCCTGCCCCAACACTGGGTCAGTAGCCTGAGTCACAGACTCATGCCCGACTCCTGCCCACCCAAGCAGCAGCAGCCCCCTGGGCTCCTGCTAAGACAGTCCTCAGCCACCTGGCAGGCCATGTCCTCTCTTCTAATCAAAAACTGTCTGGCACTTCCGAGTCACACCCGCCCCCACCCTGCCCCAACACTGGGTCGGTGGCCTGAGTCACAGACTCATGCCCTACTCCTGCCCACCCAAGCAGCAGCAGCCCCCTGGGCTCCTGCTAAGACAGTCCTCAGCCACCTGGCAGGCCATGTCCTCTCTTCTGAACATCACGAGACCAACCGTGTCAACTTCCTTACCCGGGGCCACCAGGGAGGTTCCTCTAGCAGGCTCTTGCCTTCTGCATTTGGCTGCCCAGCATCTCCCTGGGCCCCCAGGCTCCACACCTCCAGAGCGAGTGCGGGGTCCGGGGTCGCCCACGGAACTAAGGAAGCAGTCTGACTGGATCTGCAATCATCGCTACGGGGGCGGAAGTGAAAGGTCAGATCGACATGCCTCTAAGAGGTTTCCTACCTGCTCTGTTAATTTCTAAAATTTCTTCCTGGGCCAGCGGACATGTGTCACTCTGAGTACTGTGGTGTGGAGAGTTTACGACAGATTTACAATAATTGGGAGATCCCAGCTGCGGTGGCCGTGGAATATGCTTCTTTTTTTTCTTTGGTAGTTTCTGCTTAGCCATGGCTAAGGAGTAGTACATCCCGAAATTGTTCACGATGACGGGCACGGGCATGGCGATGGTCAGCACGCCCGCCAGCGCGCACAGCGCCCCCACCAGCATGCCGGACCACGTCTGCGGGTACATGTCTCCATAGCCCAGCGTCGTCATGGTGACCACGGCCCACCAGAAGCCGATGGGGATGTTCTTAAAGTGCGTGTGCTCGCTGGCGCTGGGGTCGTTGGGCTGCGCCCCTATCCTCTCGGCGTAGTAGATCATGGTGGCGAAGATGAGCACGCCCAGGGCCAGGAAGATGATAAGCAGCAGGAACTCGTTGGTGCTGGCGCGGAGCGTGTGGCCCAGGACCCGCAGGCCCACGAAGTGGCGGGTCAGCTTGAAGATGCGCAGGATACGCACGAAGCGGACGACGCGCAGGAAGCCCAGCACGTCCTTGGCCGCCTTGGACGACAGCCCGCTCAGGCCCACCTCCAGGTAGAAGGGGAGGATGGCCACGAAGTCGATGATGTTGAGCGAGTTCTTGACGAACTCCACCTTGTTGGGGCAGAAGACGACACGCATGAGGAACTCGAAGGTGAACCAGACCACGCAGACGCCCTCGATGTAGGTGAGGAAGGCCTCCGTCTCCGCTTCCCGGTAGTAGCGCACCTGCGTGCCGTTCCGAACGTTCTCGATCTCCGTCTTGTTCACGATGGGGTTGAAGCGCTCGTGGGTCTCCAGGCAAAAAGTGGTGATGGAGACCAGGATGAAGAAGAGGGAGGCAAAGGCCACATACTGTGGGGAGAAACACACAGAGTCAGAGGGGAGCCCCTCCCACCCAGAGGGGAGAAGCCCGGGGGGCCTTGTGTTGGGTCCAGTCAGAGGAAGACGCCTGCGCAAGGCCCCCTGCAAGGCGACCCAAGCTGACGGGCCACATCTCCCTCCTCAGGGCACAGGGACGTGCAGGGCAGTCAGGCGTGGCTTGTAAATCCCTCCTCCTCAACCTTCCATGTGCTCTCTCTTCCTACCGTTGCCAGCCACATGCCCGAGGGGCCACTAGAACCACCAGAGGGAAGGAGCCTGGGCCCCTGGAAAGAAAGCCATCCACTAAATGCCCTCATCGAACTGTTGCCTGAGGAGGAAATTAACTTCTATCATGTGAGGCCACTGCAGTTCAGAGGTGATTTGTTAAAGCATTGAGCGACCCTGACGCATAAACGTGACCACCCACAAGGATGATAACTATGTGGGGCAACGCATGTTTTAATTAGCTAGACTTAACCCTTCCACAATGTGTATGTATTTGAAAATATCATGTGGTACACAACAAATACATACAATGTTATATGTCAATTTAAAAAATAAATAAATTTTGGGGGGAAAAATATGCTCTAGACTGCTGGAGCTGAAGTTTCCAAAGAAATGAGAGGGGGCAGCCATAGCGGAATCAGGCCTCTCAAAGGCCACATCTCCCATCTTTCTTCCTTCCAACTCCAGTCTGTTCACTTCAAGGAGTGCCACGGTCCCACCTCCTATCAATGGCTGCCTCTAGCCTTTGCCTTAGTTTGCATTGATGCTCCTCCCCTACCCTGGGGGTGCCCTGGAAGTCCCAGAGCAGCCCTATCTGAACTGACCATGGCCTATGGGGCCTGACACCCACTCTGGCAGGGATCTGCAAACCGAGACCTATGTGGACCTTCCAAACCACATTCTGGGTTGAGGAAAGGGGAAGAGACAGAATCAGCATTTCAGAATGACAGAGTTAGGGCAGCCTTTAGAGATGATCTGGTCAAGATACCACATGCCACAGACGGGTAGTCTGAGGCCCAGAAATAGGGAGAGATCCGCCTAAACTACTCCTTACAGTACGTTCATAGTCCCATTGGTTTTAGAGCATTGTGCAATTTCCAAAAAATTTTCTCCTAGGCTGTGATTCTTATGCATCCTTCTATCCACCTCTCCCTCCTTTCTTTTACTCATCCATCCCCCTCCTCCCTTCTCTCCTGTCTTCCTTCCTCTCTCCCTCCGTTCCATCTACACATCCATTCGTATTCTTTCCTCCCTCCTTTCTTTGTTCCTTCCTCCCTTCCTTCCTTCTCTCCCTTTCTTCCATCATTCTTCTCTTCCCTCCCCTCATCTTTTCTTTTTTCTCTTCCTCCTTCCTTTTCCCTTTTCCTTCCTTCTTTCTCTCCTTTCTTCCACCCATCCACCATTCATTCATGCATCCCCTCCCTTCCTTCCTTCTCTCCCTTTCTTCCATCATTCTTCTCTTCCCTCCCCTCATCTTTTTTTTCTCTTCCTCCTTCCTTTTCCCTTTTCCTTCCTTCTTTCTCTCCTTTCTTCCACCCATCCACCATTCATTCATGCATCCATTCCTCAGCAGCCACCAGATTATGCCCAGCACAGAGCTGGCTAAGGCCTCAGCCCAGCCCACAGGGAGCTTGCTGCCTGGCTAAGGGTGAGGAGCACACACGGAGACAAGCACAGTGCAGTGGACTGAAAAGATGAGCCCCTCAGCCCTGTGAAATAGGTGGGCTTGAGAAAAGGCGAGAGTGATCTGTGCACTCTTGAGAGAGCAAGGTAGAGACTTAGAGCCAGGACCTGCAATCCAGAAAGCTCTGTCTAGACAGTTCAGAGCTGGGGCCCCACAGAAGAAAACCAGGGGAGCAAAGTGGAAGCAACTGGAAGAGGCCACCATCTCTGGTCCAAGTTCATCTTGCTCCAGAGCTCTTTCCATCATCAGTTGCCAAAGTTCCTGGAGCGGAAAAACACATCCCTGTCTGCTGATATCTGGCCCCAGATTGCCTCTGGGAGGCTCCATATTGGAGCTTGGCATTCACAGCCCAGACTCCCTAAGGGCAGGTCATGCCCCCCAGCTGCGGCCCCTGCCCTGGCCTTTGTGTGAGAGGAGAGGAAAGCGCACATGGTGAGTGTCTGAGCGATGCTGAGAAGCAGGGCCCGCGGGACCCCAGGCTCCCGATCCTGGCTGGTGGTGGAGGTAGGAGACCCCTCCCCTCCTCACTGCCCCATGGGCAACCACATCCATCCTCCTGTGCCCTCCGCTCCCATGTGACTCTCTCTCAACAGGGCCACTGCCATCAGAGCAGGTCTAGGCTTCAGTCTTGGCCATCAGCCTACCCTGCAAACAGCTACCAGAGGGAGCCGTCCACTGGAACCCCAGCTCTGCCTGTGCTGCCCACAAAGAAAAGCCCCAACTGCTCAGCTCGCACACAAGGCTCTCTGTGCCCTGGCCTCACTGGGCTTTCCAGGGCTCTCGCCCCACATGCACCCAACATTCTTGCCACGTGCAACTCTCTCACTTCTGACCACAGAGTGACCATCTCCCCCATCTTCATGGCTTTGCACCTGCAGTTCCTTCCACCAAAAAGTGTTCCTCCAGTCTGTCTGAAATCCCATTCATCCTTCCGTGTCCCACGATGTGGCCCTTCTGCTGGGGTGAGGCTCCCCTTCGCAGCTGTGGCCCTTAGGAGGCAGCAGATGAAGGGACTCCCTAAGGAGTCTCTAAATTCACCCCCAGGGAGGCAATGAACCTGTCTCCAACTCTGGCTCTTTGGTGATTGGGAGGCTCGTGGGAACAGCCAGAAAGGACACATATATCAGGGGCCTTCTAACTCCTGGGTGACCCATGGGCTCTCAGAGCTCTCATCTCATTTGTCATTCACACACTGAAGATCCGATGGGGAAACTGAGGCCCAGAAAGAGGTCAGGCCTTATAAGATTAGAGTAGAAAAATCCTTGATCTCAGGGATCAACGGACAGCCTGTGATTCTTTCCTGTCTGGGCCCTGATGCCCGCAGGCTGGGGGTGGAGGACAGACAGCAGAAGTGAGGCCTACAGCCGGACACCAAGACTTCTTCCTCAGGAGAGCCAGCAGCTCTGGAAGCCAGGCCTCCCGCCCTGCCTAGTTTCCTTGGGCGCCTGCCTCTCTGGCCTCAGCTGCTGTGGGGCCTGTTCCTTCCTCTGTCCCAGGCAGAGCCCCAGCAACGTCTGGGCCCAAGCAGACCCTTAGAGGGCTGTGGAGGAAGGTGCCCCTGGCTGGCTGGGACCCCGACATTCTCCCAAGCCTAGACTAGCAGGAAGTCAGCCAAGGGGCACAGCCAGAGCAAGAGCTCACATGCAACCACGCCCCCAGATCCCTTCTGTCCATCCTCCAGGGCTTGCTGAGCACAGGAAGGGGACAGGGAGAAGCCACCAAAGCTGAGGCCCTACTATGTGCCTTCAGTCCTGGTGAGACAGGTGGCCATATTTCCATTGTATCCAGAAGGAAAACCAGGTACAGAAAGGTTCAAAGCCAAGGCTTTGAAGCTAGTGGTGAAGCTTAGACTGGGACTCAAGTTTATTGCACCCAGAACCTAAGCTCTATCTACTGACAGAGTGACAAATCTCTTGGGGCTGGAAACACAGCCCCACCCACTGGGTAGCTGACTGTGTCTGGGTGGTTCCATCTTGGAGTGTGGTACCCACAGCCCAGACTCCCTAAGGGCAGGTTATGCCCATCCCCACAATGGAGAGGGCAGAGGGGTACCTGGAGCCACAGGCTGGAGTCAGCCACGCATGAATCACACTTAGGCCTCGTTGCCCAGCTTGCTAGCACCTGGGGCAAGAGCAGCCCCATGGGCAGGAAAGCTGCCCACCTTACATGGGGAGTCAAAGCCAACAGCAGCCTTGGATGGTCCAGCTTGCATCCCCACCTGGTCCCACTCTGGAAAGATGACTTCAACGTACCCAGGGAGTTCAGCCAGGGATGGGGGGTAAAGGCATGGGGATGGGGATTCCTGTGACCAGCTGACCCCTGGCAGGGAGGGAACCTCTGCCCAGCAGACCCAGGGCAGTAAACCGAACAGCAGTCTCTGCAGCACCCCTGGGCTGTCACTGCCAGGGTTGCAGGGGTTACAGGCAAGAACAGGAGGCTGCACTCCACTCAAGCTGTGTGCCTCCCAATCCCCAGTCACCCAGAGACACAAAACAGGCACCCACAGGCCACAGACACACACAACAACCCAAAGTACGCACATCACCCATTACCTAAGCACAGACACTGTGCACATGGGCACATAAACTACAACACAGTGTCCCAACCACACAGACACAGAGAACATGGGAGCCATACAGAGATCACTGAGACATCACCGCACACCAAGCAGCACCCTGAGGTGCCGTACTGCCAGGCACACGCGCACACGCACACACACCCAGAGCCACACGGATTATGCAGCAGCAGTGGCATACCCACCGTGAACACATACGCACCCCAGGACTGCCACCCAGCTGCCCCCCTGCCCCACAGCTCCCCGTATGCCCCTACCCACCCCAAGCCCCTGGGTGGTCACTGACTCAGTGTCTATCTCCCTCCCCCAGGACAGGCAGCTCCAGCCTGCCTCGCCTCTGCCTCCTCAGCCTGCCTGCTCAGGCGGTGCCAGCTCCTTGACTTCCTGTCCCTAGGCCCTGCCCATCATCCAGGGGCTTCCCGATTTCCTAGGCTGGCTGGGGGCCGCAAGAAATATGGCCAGACCTTGTCTCCTCTCTCCACCCCACCTGCAGCAGCTGAGCCCCACCACACCCAGGACCCAAGCCAGCTAGGAAGTCAGTCCCTTCTGGGCTGCTAGTATGACTGAGGGTACAAAGGGGGCTTTGCTAGGCAGCCCAGGGGCAACTGTCACCCAGCTTGGCCACCTCAGTAGCCACCCTGTAAAATTTCAAGACAGCGCAGGCAAGATCGCCTGACAATGCGGCATAAACCCAAGATGTAGTTTCTGGATTTTTTTTTTCCATCC